GCACCCTCACAGCGCTCACCGATTGCCAGGAAGGAGCGACAGACCTCTGGGAGAAACTGAGACGGGAATCCAAAAACCTCGATTTCCAAGGCAGCTTATTTGAACTGTGCGGAGGCGGCAGCGGCGCGGCACCGGCCCTCCTCCCGCCGGCTTTGCCCCTGCTCTTGGCGGCTCTGTGGGCTGCGCTAATGACCTGGCTGCCTTTTTAGGGGGGGCGAGCACACTCACACCCACACCCTCTCCATGTGCTGGATCTATAGAGGAAGTGTCCATCCGTTGCTTTGGGGACGTTGTGCTTTTCTGTGGTTGATGATGATGATGGTGGTGGCTGATGATGGGGAAACACCCATGTAGGACTGTGGAAGGGTTCTCCCTTTAATTATTTTTTTTTAAATTATTTTTTTTTGGTGTGTGTTTTATTTGCCAAATGTTACCAAACAGGCAGCGGCGCGCAGCCCAAATCGGACCTCAGCTTTACTATCGCTTCGAATCAAAAATAGGAAAAAAAATTATATAAACAAACTCGAGCCCTCGTTGTGCAAAAGCAATCTCAGGAACGGCGCTGGGCCACCTAATACTTAGGTTGTAATCGGCCGGGTTACCTCCCGGCGGGCCACGGGCTCCCCAAAAATCGTGGCAGTGTGGGAGGCGAGAACAAAAACACAGATAAGAAAAGGCACTGGGCGATGAATCCAAGGTAGATGTCCACGTGTGAAGCATATGGTGAATAATTCACAATCTCTCATCTTTCCTCCACAGTCGCTTGTTTTTTGGTCATTCCACTGCAAAAAAAAAATTACAAAAAAAAATTAAAAGAGCATTTTTCCTCAAGGGGAAAAGACAGCGAGAGAGAGAGAAAGAGAGAGAGAGCGAGGAAAACGAACAGTTAAGGAGGGCAGGACGGAAGTTTTTGAAGAGCGAAAGAGATGTGTCTAAATGCCCATAGGAGTGAAGGAATGCTGCTAACAGATCTCTGAGGGTTTACCTGTACTTACTGTTCGAAGGCATCTTTCCGAATTCACTGCCTTTAATTTTCTCCTCCTCTTTGTTTTAGATGTTACACATACCGGTAAAATACCTGAATATCCAACCGTAGAGATCACAAAAAGGGGGCTTAAATGTAAACCTAAAGAAAAAAAAAAGACAACAGCGAAACGATTTTGAAAAAAAAAAAAAGAAAAAGAGCCTTGATTTTAAAAGAGAAGAAAAATGTAATTTAAACAAAAGTTTATTATAAAGTCAATTCAGCAAAAAAATAACAAAAAAAGATTTGCTACAAAGTATAGACAGAAGTATAAAATAAAAAAAAATATTGTTTGAAATGAGGGTGTCGTCCTTTTTGTAAAACATGCCTGGATAATCTTGAAAGCGACAGGGCTTTTAAAGCAAGGAAGGCTAAATCCTGAACCGATGTCTTGATGAACGTTGCAATTTCAGTTCAAACAAGGACAAGGCGGCTGAATCTGTTAGTCGGAGCTTTCCTTTTTTTTTTTTTCCTTTCCCCCCTTTTTTTTTTTTTCCTTTCCCCCCCCCTCCTCAATTTTTCTCAAAAAAAAAAAAATCTATAAATCCTCCCACCCCTCCTCCTCCTCCTAAAACCCAAACGGGCAGCACCCTCGTCTCCCATCTGCCCGCAGCCGGCGCAGGAAGCCCCAAGCAGCGGCGGGGGCGGGCGGAGCGGAGGTCCCCCCAGGCGCGGAGCGGTGCGGAACCTCGGCGGAGGAAAGGGCAGCCACCACCATTAAGGAGGAGGCTGCGGAACCGGAGCTAGGGCACGGAGGAGTCCTTTAATAATTAATAAGGCAGCTCAGCCGAAGGAGCAAGGGGAAGGGGGGGACGGACTATTGATTGCGCGGCAGAAGCTGCTCTAACCTCGGCTATTTATAGGCGCCTCATGCCTTTATAAAGAAATACACATCAAAGAGTAAACACGTCCTTTTTACTTATAAGGCGAGAGCCCAGCTGGCGACCGGGGGAGTGGGTGGGTGAGGGGGAGTGGGTGATGGGAAGGTAGGGCCCGCGAATTGGTTTGAGGTGATTTATTCCAGTGGGGAGCCGTTGCCTGCGCCATAGCTCTCCTTTGCCAGTGCGTAGGGTGGCAGGGTCTCTCTCCTTCGCCCCTCTCCCTGCTCCCCTCCCTTCCCAAGGTCCGCAATGTAATGTGTAAGCAATAGCAAATGTAACAGTTCATAAATCAAACAGTGGGTCGCAAGCCAATCTGCATTTCCCAAACGAATTGAATCCCAGCAACGAATGCGCTCAGGAACTGGAGCCAGGCGCCTTTACCACTGGAAGCAATGTTGATTTTTTAATGATAAAATACATTATGCGTGTGTTGGTGGGGGGAAGGCTTTGCAGAGCTCAGCCTCGCTCCGGCAGACACAGGTCTGCTTGCACTTCGTTTTCCTTTGCCCTCCCTCTAGACTCAGTCCCCACTACCACCACAGGAAAAAAAAAAGGAAAAAAAGAAAGGAAAACCCTGGAGATCAGAGCTTTGTTTAAATGGCTTGGGTTATTTTCCCTCACCACTGAGGATCTAGACCCAAATTGATTTTTATTTTTTTTTTCCGTGCACATCTCTATATTCATGAGGTCAGGCGCTGCCTTCATGATTTCTTGTAGCACGAAATGCCAGCCGCGGAGGAGAGAGGGGAGGAAGAGAGAG